CAATAGCAAAAACCATTTAACTATTACGATGTGGAATGAAAAGAAAAAGCAAAAGCAATTGGGTGGAAGGAGGAGGGCTCAATAGCACTACGAAGGATCAATTGACACATGTGAGAATAGACTCTCGTACATCACCGTTTTACTAACACCAATGTTGCGTATGTAAATGGCATTTGTAATTTTGCTTCAATTAATGTTAATTTTCTATTTGGGGGTATTTTGAAATAATAACAGCTTGAAGGTGAATAATAACATAGAAGAAAATTTAAAAAATGCGATAAACAGGAACAGAAGTTATAATATACTTCTTGGAAGCTGTATCAAAGTTCTTTAATTATTTGCTGTTATTTATTTACTGTTTCTACTTTTATCATATAATGTATTTCAATAAATCACAATGCGAACACTATACGAACAGGCTGTCATCAAAACAAAAACAGAGATGCGTTTTCATTGGCAATTCCAAACTATTTATTTGGAATATTCTCCCATTGCCATAAGACATAAATTTTTTCCCCACGGATAATAAGAAATTAAACAAATAATCAAGTCGGCATAACGAATTACAGAAACGAAATGCATAAACGCAATAACAGATTTCAAATTCTAAATCGTTTTGCCACATGTTTAAATTCTACGCAGTGTTTGTAATCATAGTTCATATCACTGAATTTACCTTAACTCTAAAGTGAAGTGAACGATAGACCTCCTTCCATGTGGTGCACCCTGTGCAACATATACTCATAAGGCAAAAAAAATCTATAAACTGGCCGCTGACTTCAAACAACCATGATCCGACTGAATGTCATATTCGACCACTTCCACAGTACTCATCTTCCTTTTTTCCCACCCTTTGTCTGATCTAGTTTTAAAAATAACTTTAAATCCGAGAATGGTGAATTTTTCGAAAGTTATTCCGATATCATACCGAAAATAACTACTGATCTACCTCCAATCGATTTAAATGTTAGTTCTGCGAACTAATTGACCAAAAACAATTAGTAAATCGGAACAATTTCTGGAAACCTTAATGCGCTCGTTAAATAATTTTATTTACAATTTTTATTGAAAACACCGATAACAGAAATGAAATTATACTATCTTGAGGAATAAATTAGAACTTCCAATATGTGCGTCTAATTTGATTTATCACAGTAAAAATAAATTATTTTGTTAACGTAAACCTAATTGAGCGTACTCACTGTGGAAATATTATTCTAATAACCGTGGTCTCATTAAATAATAACTTGTTTTATGTTAATATCAATATCAAATTAGTTTGTTTTGCTTTGAAATTTAATTCTCTTTAAGCTCTCCGACTTGTACAAATAGCCGAAAAGTCTCATTTTCAGCTTTTTGTTAATGATTACCATACCTTTAGTATTAAAATTATTTTCTACAGTTGCATATAGTTTGAAAAATTAAAATCGAAAATTATTTGCATCAAATTATATTCTTTTATGAAAATCACAGATAGTAATGACTTGAGCTAGAGAGACATTTTTCTATCTGAGAGTATGTCATGAATTTAATTAAATGACATTTTCCTATAAGAAGATATTTTTGGGAAATATGTGAAAATTTAAATTAAGATGAATGAGATAAGGTGTATAATATGCGTCTGTCTAAGCTTTTATAAACATATTTATTCCACTCTGGTGCTTCAAGAGTTTAAATCAATATTTTTCGGAATTGATGTTAAGTTATTCGACCCTGAGCACATGATTTGAAATCAGCAAGAACCTGAAAATGGAAAACTTTTTATATGCAGTGTACCTTGAAATTCCTTTTATCAGGTTGACGTAAATGAAATATTAAACAGTAATCAAACTAGGGACCTTTTATACAGGCAGGGTAGAAATATGCATACTTTCAAGAGTAAATGGAAGAAAAGAGATGAGAAGCATTAAGCTCCTTTAATTTAATTTTAAGTCAACTCTATCTTTGCCTCTCCGCTAAAATTTGGTTACTGAGAAAATCTGTTTTAACATACAATAACCATTTTATCAATTTTAGAAGTAACTACTTAAATAGTGTTAGTGCGGTGCTCTTAAATTTGAGTAAAAGTGAATCAATCGGTTTGAACTTCAAGATCAATGCGTACCTCATATATTCTTAATTGATTTACAAATTTTTCAATGACTTATTTTGAAATGTTTGTATACTTATATCATCTGGAAATTCCTTTCCTTTTTATCTTAGAAGGACCGTTTCTTTTAGCTATTTTAAGCAACGAGGTTAACTTTGAAATATTATTAAATTGGTATCCTTTCCTGAATATTTTAATTATGATTATGCTAATTTTGTTCTGGCAAGTGCAAAGTGTATCGTGCATTGTATGAATGCAGTAAATCAATTTTAAAAAAATGCGAAGCTAAAAGTGCCATGAATGCCAAATCATTTAGTCGGCATATATGCATTAACGTTTATTATTGCATAATCAAATTCAGTGAAAGGCCTTTCAAAATAATAATATTAAATCAATTGAAATTAACGCATTTCAATTTATCAATTGTATCATTTCATGCAAACTGCTGAAACGCTAGTGTTAGAAATGAAAAAAATATTTCTGCCACCAATTTTCAACTGCATAGTTATGAATATAGGATTAAATTATATAAATTTTATTTATCAATATCCTTGAAATGTTACCACAGTGATTACAAATACTAACCGCTTATAAATATGGGAAGTAAGCGACACTGAGTATCGGAGGATCAAACTAAGAGAAACGGCGTTCAGCGTCCATGCAACAAAAAGGCCTTAATTCATTTTTATTATAGACTTGAGTTGTGTAAAGTGGCTAATGATAAGTTCCTGTTCAAAGATTTTTCTTTTTTTCTTTTCTTCATCTGGAAAGCTTTGGATTCTTGACTACATCATTCAATGATTAATTAAGAAGTGGGACCAGTCTTCCGGCTCGAGTGTTTGATAAGGTAAGTGGCCTCCTATGATATCTCGAAGTTTTCAGAGATAAGACATAAAAATTTGTCCTTGCGTTATTATTACGGAACCACACAAGGTGCTGCATAACCTAAGATGTGTGAAATTTGTGGCCGGTAGAGGCCTTTATAAAGAGATGTCAGATGCATCAGGTAAGTTAATTTGAATGAGTCTATAGTTTATAAGAAGAGTTAGAATTGATTGAAAATACTTTAAATGAAAATAAATCAATCGAAGTGATACGACACCCGAAATCTTTAGAGAAACCAATCACTAAGCTATTAATGTTGAGGAATTTATCTCCACTAGCAACCTTTGAGTTTGAACCACCAAATTTAATTTGTTTAAAGCATTTCATTGCTTTGAGATGGATTATATGCCCCATTAAAAGTTGATCGCCGGGGTTTCCACTATGTACATTTATTTAATTTAGTACTTCCTATAGGTATCAAAAAATAACAGGAGTCCATTGCACTCAAGCAATTCCAATGAAAGCAAATTAAAATTCAGTTAATCTAAAAGAATATTTAAATTCTAATCAGCTATATTAGCTTCGTCACTTCCTATCACAGATTACAATATGTATGTCTTTATATCTACTACTTTCAAATAATCAACAGCTGATCAACTCTTATGACATTTGAATTTGGAAAGCTTTGTGAAATATTCTAATTCATTCATTGAGGAGGCAGTTGGAGGGAGAAGCGTTCATGAAATTTAAAGGCATAAGATAGTTCAAAGAAGAAATCAGTTTTTAAGTCACATAACGCTTTCAAAGCCAAGTAGGATAGTAATATTTGACTAATTGAAAAGGGAATTGGAGCACAGAAAAAGGAATCGGGAAAACAATTTTAATCAAGGATTTCAAGTAAGAGAGATCCAACCACTACCATTCCAATTGATTTTTCGAATTTAATAGTACTAGTAGAAGCCTGCAAACAAGAACAGAAATGGTTTTAGGTAGTCATAGAGGCAAACCTATGTCTATTTGGCAAGGTTGAAACCGGAGATGATGGTGTAGAGTCACAAGTTTAGAGGGATTGTAGTGTAGTTTATTCTGTTTCAAACAATATACTTTCTTCTTTCTGTTCACCAACAGTTAGACTACCAGTTATTAGAAAAGTGCTTTGGTGAGCTCTGTGACTTACCTGGTCTGAGATCAGTAAAGCTTCGCACTCTGAACAATGGTGATGTCTGCATAAAGTAAATAGCATAGAGCATTAGTAGGGAGTAGTTTCAACTTTCCTCATTAGAAAAGCGTGTGCTAAAGAGTTAACATGCATCAAAAGTTAGCTCGCTTATGAGGTTGATAGGGGTTAAGATGTAAGCTAATTTGAAACGTGCCTTGTTCTTTCCTCTGGTATTAAATTTGTGATGCTGATGGAAGTTCTTCAAGAACGCTCTATTAAAAAAATGAATAAAAATATGAAAGACGTATTATGAAGTCTTCATAAGCACTGCTCTGGAACTCGGTTAAGCAATTAAATTGTTTGGTAATGGCTATGTTGGTAAGCATCTTGAAGCAGTTGAGATGTTGAATGCCCTGAACTTTATCTTACCGGTTGACGAATATTTCCCCATCGCCAAGATGTATCTCTTCACCATCACTGTAGCTGACATTGGTAGAGTTACTATAAGAATACCCCTGATACTTCCTTCGAGACTTTGATCTATAAATGTAAGAATTACTACATAACCACAATCACTCGGCAAGCTTTTATCCCAACTCAATCGTTCACAACAAATACTAAACCGAAATTTTAACACCTTGTTGCAATAGGATAAACCCGAAAGATTTCCGATTTTGCAAAAAAATTGTCTGGAGTTGTATCTGGAGAGTAGTTGATCCCAACAAAGAAAAGGCTCAAATTTAAACAGCAGCTACTGAAAAGGTCGTCTCAGACACCGATAAATCAAGCAAATCGATTAAAAATGCAGACGTTGTACTCACATCGTATGCAACGGAATTTTCAATGGAACGTCTATTTTTACTACAAATAACTTACTCAAAACGCTTTGTTGGCAAGATTTGATAAAGATATAAACAAAACTTTAAATTAATCGTATAGATGATACAATCGACAAGTGACGTACTTTGGAGACTGGCTTCGAGTGCCTTGTTTACGGATTTCAGAATGAGGATGATTTTGAACTCGCTGAATAGGTGCTCCAGCGCTCCGATTTAGGCTGTGAAAGTAAATGATTAAGATAACTATGATTTCACTAAAATTTTACATTAACTGAAGTATAAAAATCGAAAAACTTTATAAAGGTTTTAGATGACTCGATTTCCGTATTTAGTTTAAAGGTACTAAAAGTGGGGAGGAGTGGGATGGGATAGGTGGAACTGGACAGAATGTATTTTCACTGGCTCTCGTTCCTCCATAGAGATGAAATAAGGTCAATGCATCAGTGAAGAAGTTTTATGAATTCTAACTGATGTAACATTTGCCTATCAAATGGATTTCCGAGGAATTTGCTTTAGAATAAATCCGTATCCTCGTCAGGTGAAATAAAAAACGAGGACAACACTAACATGCTTTCTTAGATCAAATTATTACGTCTTTTTTTACAATTTCTTGTTTTCAGGCAAGATTTTCTATAATTTGTCCTTTATCACCTTGATAAATACCAGTAGGTCACTTAAGGTGTATTTTAACCAAGTGACCTGATTCCGATAGGGTTCTCTTGCTTGTGCAGGGCACTGCGCACAAATACTAAGTTGACTGTTTGTTTAATAATAATCACCGTTGGAATTGGCTTTATCAGAAGAACAAATGGTAGAAATAACATCCCTTAATCCTATAATGATTTTCTATATTTCATTTCATCTGTTTTGAAAATTGTTACAATTTTTGACTCTGACTTTTTAGCAATCTTTCAAAATTACAAAAATGAATCAAATAAAGTAAATATTGTGAAGATACTTGGAAGAATATCTTCGCATAAAAGCTGTCCACTTTAATTCTACCGCAGGTGAAAAAGAAGTAGTTGGAGGAACAGATTCCATCTTCTGGGTTGATTGCATGAGATTATAATTATGCAAATGCGGAATAAAAAGCACTGAGAGATAGGACACAGCACTGCAAACTGCTATATCTGATTGTCTGAAATCATGGCAATACTAGTAATTTTTCATGTCAAATGGTAGTAATTTATGAATTCTTTGAAATAATTGGAACATAATAATGCTAGCAAATTTAAAAGGCGCTGATTCTGTTAGTAACTACAATATCGTGATGCAATTAAAAAAAAACAAACGGGAAAAGTCAGGTGGCATTTGAAAACTTACCGGAAATTTTCAGGAATCTCTCTGCGCGTTGGGCTGGCGGAAACGGAACATCGTCTGAAACAGCAGATAAGCATTGCAACAATTTTTTATAATATATGCTGATATGTGCAGCTTTTAAGAAATTGCGATTAACTACCGAACAATGGCTTTTCCTTTATTCAAATTCTTTTGACATTTTAGACATACGTGCCGAAGAACAACGCTGGATTGACAATTATTCCTAAAGGATTATACAATTTTTAAAGTCAAATTTTACAAGATGCAAAGATCTACTGAAAGGGAGTGCCGCTAAGAAGGGGGATATATTCCCAACAAAGTGCTTGTTACTTACTGATTAGAAACTTCGCCTTTTTCGCTAAAATTAACAAAATTTGCTAATTTTTGAGGTCGCTTGATTTTGAAGCACAAGCATATTCCAACTTACATATGAGAGCAGGTTTCGAACTCTGGTTCACAGTTTTTAACCACGATTTCCTGGATTGGTTCCGATTGGCTGAAGTATATAGTACGTAAATAACAGTTGCATAAATGCGGATAAAGGCCAGTTGATCATGATCATTACGAAAATTTCATTTTCCAAAATGTTTCGACCCTCCATACGCAGTTTCAAATACCTCGTTAACCAATGAGCGAAAGTAGCAGAGAAATCAAAGTTTTTCACTGGTTTATAAAAATGAGTCGATTAGCGCAAACACTATCAGTTAGACTGTTTGAGCATTTTAAATTGCCCAAATAGCTCCTGCAAAACTCTGTTGCTTGAGATATTTGACCGTCTCATTTAGCCTACTTTTAAGCTTCTAGCTGTTGACTTTCAAGAAGGAACATACGCTTTCCTTACAGTTGGAAGAAATTTCCAATTGAAGTGGCAAGACTGCCTTTTCTTAATTCAAATTCGGTCGTTATATGGTGGGGATTGTAGAAAAGCACTCGTTGAAAACCAAATGCAGATTGCCATGGTAAATTAACTGACCACTTATCGAAAACTTTAAAACCGAAACCACAAAATTGATTAACTTTCTAATGTCTTGATTTTGTTCATGACACTTACCTGACTCCTCACTCTTGAGCAATAAATGAGTTTATTTCAACCTAATTTTGGGTGCTTCTGACAAATAAAAGTTGCAAACTCCTGTCTTATTTTAGTTAATAATAGCAATTGGTGCCTGTAATCTCTACCTTAAAATGACCCTCTAAATTGATGGGACTTAGTTTAACATACATGGACTCCAAGGAATCAATTAGGACCGTCTGAGTGAAAGCTTAGTAGCCAACCCCTTGCAATTGCCTGAGATATCGATCACTTTTGGGTACATTTTATAACGATGGAGATTTATTTGTTAGGAAACGTTTTTTTTCATAATTTCATATCTTTATTGAAATCAAACGAAAAACAGTGAGAATGGTGATTAATGTAGGTTAGGAATAACTTTATAAATAATAGCTTCCCTTGAATTCAAAATGTTTAACACAATCTAAAGCTCTACTAAGAGTTTGCATCAAATAGGTTAAAATTTACGCACCCCATTTGCTTTTGCTGTTGATATGCGAATTCTTTGTGGGCCTGAGGTTGATGTGGCTGATAGCGTGGATTCTGTTGTTGAGTAAGGAAGCGAGGGTGGTGTTTAGCTCGTAGACCCCGTCTTGTGTATGGAGGAAGAGGACTCTTGGATTTTCTCCGTGCACTCTTCATCGCTTTACTATGACACAATTTAGAGGCATAACATGATGTCAGCAAGATGAATTACAGCATCACTTTGTGCCGAAGACTTACTTTTTCTTGGGCTTAGCTTCGTAATTGATGGGCTCAATTCTGATTATAGTTGATGGGCTACGGGAAGGTCGTTTACTTTCTTTTACTGGAGAATCAATTGAATTGCTGAGGCTGATAGAGGTGCTGGAACTACTTGAACTGCTTAGACTCCTATTCTTTCTGGTCCGTCCCCGTCCACTTGATGAACTGCTCGTGGAACTACTGGTTGTGCTGCTGCTTGTGCTTGAACTACTACTACTACTAAAAATAAAGTGAGGTATAAAACCTCTGTTTAAAAAATTATTAACCTCAAATAAATTTAAGAATATATAGCACCTATAAAATAAGACCTTTTATATAAAACTGGTCTGCATTAATATTGCATGTCAAATAAACATTGATAAAATTCAAAATATAATCCATATATCAATGCAGAAGTATATATACTTAAGTATATCATTTTCTGCTTACATATAATAAGATTAAAGCTATATTGGCGCTAATATTAGATATTCAAAATCCTTCAAATAAAAGGCAATTTGCCAAATTGATTTTTTAAGGGAATTAAATACTTGTGTGCTGACCTTGAACTAGATCGTCGAGACTCGAATCCAGCTTTTATGTCCATACCAGCGGGTTTCATAACGATACTATGAATAAAACAGCACACGATTATCTCAAATCTTTTATTTTAAAAAAAACGCGCACTCTGGTGAGGAAAGCTGCCAAATAATAGAATAATTGACTGTTAAGCTGCTCTTAACCGATCTGAAGTTTTTTCCACAGCATGCAAGTTAAAAAAACACAGAAAAGTTTGATAAAAATTGCCTGAGTTTACCCAAATGGAATTGTGCTATAGATGAATGGTTAGAATCATTAGAAAGCGCAATTATTTCGTTAGGTAAAGTTAAAGAAATATGAACTACGTGAATTGTGGTAGTTTTCCACGCGTCGGTGAGCGTTTTTGATCTTGAACAAGATACATTGGCTTCAATTTGCTATATAAAATGCACAAACATACATTACTGGAATTGTTGGTCATCTACAAAGCCAATACTGTTACTATCTTTCCATTAATTTAAGCAATAGTCGTCCATTCTACTACTTCTCTTGCCGCAGTTCACTTAAACACACTACCCTTATACTAAGGGGTCTTTTAAATTTTTTCCTTTATTTTCTATCGTTTTTATTTATAATTTTTACATATTAGCACACTAAAAACTGCGTTTGAATACCATCTCACGTTTATTGGCCATTTTCTTACTTCTAACCATTAGTTACTGATCATGCATACGCGTATAAACTCGAGTGCCATTACGTCGTAAAATATTGCCCATGCATAACAAGGTAATTAAATCTATTGGGTGGTCGTTTAATTCTCTTACCATTTGAAGTAAATCATTAATTATATTAAAATGTTGTCTGCTAAGTATAACAGGCACAAAATTCTAAATTAAAATTGTAAGTGAGGTATAGTATTATTCATCTTCATCGTATTTGTTTATGAGAGGGTTCCTCACGGAGCAAAATGTCTTTATTCTACTTCAATGGCTTTCCGGACAAAGTTCTTTTTATGGTATCATCAATAATATTGTTTATTGGAATGTTATATACCCATGTTTAAAGGTGGTAACACCTTCTTCGAGAAAAGAAGAAACATATAAGAGATGCTATTGTAACTAAAACACCTAGTAAATTAGTATGGTTGGCCAAAGAAACTACTTCAGAGGCACCAATGAAGGTTGATATCATGACCCACGACTTTGTAAACTTACACTTGGACCACAGCACCGCTGACAAAATTACTATGAAAAATCTTTCGTCACACTATCTGAATTAATGTGTTTCCTACGTGGCTTGGATTTTGAATCTGTACTGTCTTTATCGAACAAAGCATCACAATATATATATATATATATATATATGTTAGAAGTAATCGGTTGCCAAAGCACTATTTTAATGCAACGGCGAGCTAATTCCACCCTTCTTACCTTTGATGGCCTCGGGACTTCTTTTGCGAAGACATACCCTTAGAAGGATGATTAACAACCACATCATCGGAGGATGATGAGGATAAGGAGGAGGTTGGCGAGGATGAAATTTGTCTCCTTGGACTTTATGAAGAAAAAGGATGAAAATTATTTCAAGTCAATTCTGTAAAACTGCGATTTCGTCTAATATATTGATAGTAGAGAGTTGTAAGACAACTTCAAATAAATTGATTTGAGACCTGTGAATGAGTCCCCTCTATTCATTCACAACCGGGGTTGAGCTAACTTGTACTCAATTCTTTTATATGTGATAGGCAGCGTCACTTTTCATATACCGATAATTACTTCATAGATAAGTGTCATTTAAAATTAGATTTTTAGCGCTATTTGGTTTATAAACATGAATTATGAGGAAATAATCATAGAATGTTAAGTTGAAATCCATTAAATCAATAAACTCAATGTAACTAACGGAAAATGTGAAGAAATAATACTGAAATCGAGTTATTACGCACCGAGAAGGTTGGTGATAATCCGAAGAAATATCGATCGACTCTTCGGGGCTAAAATATTTCCTATCAAAAAAGATAATATGTGATTGCGAATTAATTTTAGCAAAATAAAAGCAAAGCTGCCAGTTCTATTTTTTAGCGTTGAATTTCTTAATTCACTGAACAGCATAGAAAAGGAAGCGTAAATAAAACCAAATAGTATTAAATTTCGTGGAAAAAGAAATGGAAATAAAAAAGAAATAATGATTTCTAGGTGAAGATGAATCTACCTTTTTATCGAAAATGACACGGGTGCTCATGGTGATATTAATATTTCAGATGATAGAGTGTTGAATACTTAATTTAAATGAGAATGGAGAAAGCCTGTTTTATTGCAAAGGAAAAATTTAAGCCTAGTATAAGCAAATATAATTATTGAATCAAGCGGTTCATCAACCCCAATTAAGTAAAACAAATCCCATTATGTATTAATTAATGAGTGTATGTGCCCAAAAACATCAAATGAACTCAATTGATCAATGTAGATGGAAAGCAGTTAGGTTTAGTTCGATGTAGATTTTCGATTTCTTACACATGAAAGGGCGAAGAAGCAGAACTCATATGTATCCTTTTGTTGCCCATCTCGAAAATATTATTACTTTTTCTTCCATTCTGCCTGTTCTTGCAAATCGAAAGAAAATGGGAAAATTTGAAAAAAATAATAATAAGATTTCATCTACCAGAGGAAAGAATAGCTAGAGCTATTGAAAGGTTAATCATAGTGAAATATGTGTTAATTTGCTTACAAACTCAAGCAGACTATCTTTATTCATCAAGTTAATTACCTAATTACCTTGTTTAGTAAATGTTAAGGTTAAACTTTTCATATAATTTTAAAAATACGTACTCGGGTGGCATTGAGTAATCCCGGTGTTTTTTGTGAGAATTCCTTGGCATTTTCTTTCCAGTACGAGTCGCAGATGAGTTTTTCTTTGACCTTGTAATTTTTATTAAGAATCGCGAATAAATTATAACCAATCTCATAATTTTAAAAATCATTAAATATGAAAATGATATAAAACGTTAATTTTAAGCTTGAAATCGTATTTGTATCATATATTTCCAAATCATTTAATGCGACGAAATTCACAATCGCTTTTCTATAGTTCTGAGAAAATCATCAATTTTGCCCGTGATAAACTAATATTATAAATAATTTATGAGCATTTCTTGGCAATGTAAAATGAAGATTTTCAATTAATAGCTAGTTAGTGTTTCGACTGTTGACATCCAAAGTACCCATATTGAAATTTAACAACTTTACAAATTGGCAGTCTCTATAATTGAGTTGAATTTAATGCTTATATTTTATAATAACAATATAATTTTGTTGAAAAAATGGTTATTTTGATAGTTAAAATTACAAGCATCCGTATATTATTTGAAATAGAAACCATCCATATAATAATTCAAACGAAGCTTTCAACACTTTTCTAAGCATTTATATAAACAAAAAATTCAAATGAGACAAATATTTACGTATTATTGATGTGAAAATCATGATATCTTAAAGTTTATCAACTGTTAATAGTCACATTAAATGACTTACAAATTAATTACTCCAGCAGGATTTGAACAAACTACTGATCACTTTCGGCAACAGTGACACTTTAATCAACAAAGAAGTCATTCGAATTACTTTCTTCAGCGTTAACTAATTGGCTCGAGTAATCGCCACGCTGCACGAATGGGTATGAAGGAACCTACAGTTCAACTACACCCCACACAAGCTCTTTAATGAAATTAGACAACCTAACGTCTTGTCATATCAAAAATATCCTTTATTCAAATTATGCGTATAATTACATTAATAATTAAGATAATTTGAACGATGGAGCAACAAAATTTATCGTACCGCATAGTCAATCCCCTACCACTCACTTTAAATCAATATCTCAACCAGAACTTTGTATCCCTCTGCCAAAGCGCTACTCAAAAGCAGTTTCGTTTTGTTTTTCTCATAAACTGCATGATTAGCATTTTGAGCGCAAATATGTTTTTGCTAGATCTTGCCAAATTATTAACTTTATATACTTTCAAGTTGAGATTATGACGATGGAGTCTGATCGAAAGACCAAATCTGTGGTTATAACTAATGAAGCACGTAGAGATTTTCTCTAAGAAATAGCTTAAATTTCATTTGATTATGCATCTTCCACAGTACCATATTTACCCGAATATACGTATATAAGTACCATTTCTTAAAGTATTCTTGAAAAAAAATAAAGCTGGGACAAATCCAAAGCAAGCCGTCTCTGAAATTTATCAATATTTAAAGCATAATTAGTTTAATGAAATATGACTCAACTTATAAAATACGAAATAATGAGAGATAGATTTATTCTAATGTAGTTGAGAAAAGTTACTTTGATTTCATTAAACATCAAGGCATTTGATTTCTTCAGCCACTTATTTTCTTAATATTATATATTAAATACATATTGCTTATATTAAAATATACCTCAATTTCTCGATATTCACATCTATTTGTTTGACTTTCTTTATCATGGAAGATTATAAAATATTTTTTGATTCTGTCTAAGAGCCAATAGGCGTATAAAATGTTTTAAAATTAAGTCCCGTACAATAAAGCCAGTTTAAAATGTTTTCCGCTTTATTTCGATATGAGTAACATCTAAAGTACATTTCGCGTCAAAACCTACCACCGAAGAATTACTTACCTTCTTGATTTCTTCAAGGGATCAAAATTAATCGGCTCAGTCTTTATTTGACGCTTGATCTCCTGTTTACTAGGCATTTGAACCTCAATTTCTCGAATGAATGGTTGGTCTTCTGGTTTCTTAACGTCAGATACATCGGTCAAGCTGCAAAAATTGAAAATGCATAATTGAATGCAAGTACTCGTCAGAACAATATAAATGCTCTTCATCCAAACACCAAAGCATTGTTTTAAATTTCTTTATTTTGTTTTTTAAAGATGCTTATGAAGATTCATACCTTGGGTATACTTGTCCATTTGTGTATTGCCTAAGAAACAACGCGATACGAGAGCAAGCAAAGCGAATTACCAGAGACACACCATACTATTAGGCTTTTACATTTTATCCTTCGCACACTTACGATTCTTGATTAGTATTATTTTCACCTCGTATGTCGACGGATGTCATTGAAAGGTTTTCTTCCAAAGTATCAGCCCTAAATAATCGCATTAAATACCCATAATTCTATTTAAAAATTTATTAAGCTGATGGCAAAAGGGACTCTGAAAAGATGAACAATAGTGTCAAAACTGTATGCTAAAGTATAATATGTGAATCTAACCTGGTATGGTCGTTTACAAAGATATTACTTAATGGTGCTCATTTGCTAATTAATTATTTTTACATTTTGGTTTAAATTCTATTATTGCAGTACAACCAATTGCATCTTAGTATTAATGAAATTACTTGATGGGAAGGATGTATTTTTACTAAATAGTATTTAACAAATTAGTGCAAGTTTGATTCCATATTGAAACCGTCGTATTAATTATATTGACTGGTTAGCAAGTAGAGCTCACTACTATATCGCTAAAAGTACACGGTATGTATTATACTACTTTATTTTCTTACTACTTCAGCTAATTAAAAACGTTTTGCATTATAGCTTCACTTTCATATAGATCAATTCTATTCCAATCTGATAACACTTTATAATTTTTGAAAAATTGCGAGGCTGCCACTGCAGGGAGAAGTTCTAATCTTTACTACTAATATTTTATTAAGTAGAAAGGTGAATTGTTGCAATTAACACAAATTCAATTTAACTATCTAAATTGTTAATCATAGTTCTAATCCTTGGATGTGAAAGCTCAATTCTTTTAACGAATTAAATCTGCATTTAAAGAATTGCTTATATTTTAGTATTATTAGTCAAATCAATAATGTGTATTTACTTATCTTAGAAATTCTTGTGGATATAGTGCAACCTATTATCAAAATCTCGATGTCTATTATCCTTTGAATGCGATTTTAAGTGCTTTTTCCAGAAAATAAGCTCTAATGTAGAGCATTTTAAAGTTTTTTCTGTGGTAAAAGATTATTCAGTTTAATATTTGGGCTAAATTAAGGAGGAATTTCTTTTGTAGTGAATAATATTTAACTAAGCGCATTACTTTTATGCGGTTAGGAGTTCCGATCGATTCAAGAAATCTGAAAAGTTAATTCGAAAGGATATTACGAAATCTGAATAGAACCGCCTCTCAAATACGTATTCAATCGAAAAGAATGAAAATAAAATCAATATTTACAATTAGAGTTCTCGGAAATGTCGATGAATAAATATCATAACTATGGGCTCATACACGATTTCTTCATATTCCAAATAGTTGAAAATTCAACAGAATACTACTTTTGTCACTGAAAACCGTCAACTGGTATCATTTTAGAAAGTCAGTCATTTATGATAATATAAACTCATGGTTAAACATGATACAAGCATCAATCATTGATTTTAAAATCAATTATGAAAGCAGACATTTTGATTAACTTTTGAACCTCCGATAATTAGTAAACTGATTAATTACTACTGAGTGTTAATAGCGTCAACAAAAAAGTTTTTGACCTGCAATTTTTTCGAACGCTTTGTCATGCGTTACATAAGTCATTAAATAATTATTTAAATTTAAGGTAGCTGATTAATGGTTCCACAATGAAAGACATTGGATATCATTCATTTTTTATTTTGAAAAATCTGCATATCGAAATTATTATGCCTTCAATTCATATGCTTAACTGCAACGAATGTACAGATTTATAATAGTAAAATACTAGCCTCCCTGAGTTTGAAGCTAAATAACTATTCGCTAAATAAGATATTTCATTAACCTATCTGGCTTAACTATGGTAAGCTTTACCATAAAACGACAAAGGTGTTATTATACTCTCTGAGCAAGTCTATGCAGAAAAATCGATCCATGCCTTAAACTACTATTGACCTCGGTTTACTGACAATTGAGAAAAGATAGTTTTTTTCTCACATAAAAGCAGGCTTATACAACTCAGAACAGATGCAACGCAAATGGTTTATGCTAAAATGGATGCGATTTAGACGGTGAATCATAATAAAAAATTTATTCCGCGCCAGCTGAAAACTAGCCATAATTAAAAGGTGAATACTTTGTGCCATCGACTTTGCGCATGTGCGTATGAAGTGAGAAGCATTGATGAGCAAAGAATTGTAATTGCGCAGAAAATTCACGAACTGAAGGGTCTCCCATGTCCTATAGAATGTTTTTAACACCTATGTGAAACTAAAATCTATTAAGAGATTGCATCTTCATGTGCTCCTTTATCATAATTTGGATATTCAGCAAAGCAAGGATGTTGTGCATTTATTCGGTAGCTTATTATACAACTAAACTTGTTGCCCAAAGTAATAAAGCATTTAAATGTATGCAGAATCTTACCTAGCCAAGACATCTGAAACCGAATCCTCTTTCATAGGATTTTGGAATGCGTCGTTGCTGCGACTTAATTAGATATGAATGAGTAAAAATTCATTATATGATCTTAATAAGAAAAGAATTTCATTTAATTAGAGACGTACGCTCTTTGTTCCACTTGTTTGAAAAATCCTGAGGTATCGGAGGATGATAGGCGCGCATTCAAACTAAAAGTTGTTTAATTTGATAAAATTGTACAAACGAGAGCAAAGCGTTGAGAAGCCAACTTATCTAAACATACTCAATGGTTCCAGGTGCAATGCCAATTGTCGCAGGCATCTGAGTTGTTGGTGTCAATTCATAAGGTTGACTACCATTATCACTAAAATTAAAATTAAATATTGAGAAAGCTTTTTGTCGTTTTTATTAAAAATATTTTGAGTGAGCTCTGTTAGATTAATATCAAACTAACCGCTCTTAAATATTATGAAAATTTAATAAAATATTATGGCCAGCAGCTTAGTTTAATTAGATTATGTAAAAAATAATCTGCTTAGAAAAGAAAAGAAATCTATAAAAATGAGCTGAGGAGCGTTGACGCTTGAAGAAGTTAAATGTACTTCTGAGTAAAAAGTAAATAAAAAAGTCATAGAAAGCCTGCGATTCACCAAAAAATATTCAATTCCTTTCTTTTAGATGATTTTATTAGAGGATAAGTAAAAAAATAACATCCCTACCGCGTCCAAAACTCTTGCCATGGACTGTAAGATATTGATCGAACAATTCAAAGTTTGACCTACATTATCGTTGATAGCACAGAGGATATTGACGTGTTGCTTCCTTTTGTCTATTCAAGATGCATTAACTTCCATTTCAATTATCATATTTAATAAAACCGCCCTTTCAATATTACTGAAATTCATCTCTCCATTTACTTTCGTCATCAATGAGTACCAGACTTGGTTTACGCCACTTGAACATGGCGTTCTTTGGAAAGGTAGTGAAAGTCAAGGATGACAAGAACCAGGACCAATAAAATATGACATTTATGCTGCAAAAAATGAAATAAACATTACTTCTTTATAGTTCACCATTCTTTCCACAGATTAGTTGCCGTACGCATCCCAACTGTTCCCGCTTTTGATTAGTATTTATTAATAAAGCACTTAACAATACTGCCTCTTATATAATTAACTGACTATCATGATAAGAAATCAAATTCAAAGTTGTTAACTCGCCTAAGTATTGAAGGTGTTCGTTCTTTAGTTCGAAGCAATGATTTTTTAGGTTCTTTGGATTCTTGCTTGCTAAAAAAATATGAAAAATATTAAGTGGGTCCAAGCCATTATGCTCCTAGTCTAGGCAACAATATAAGCCGACTAAAGGGCGGAAGGCACTATCATAAATTCAATTAATTATAAATGGCGACAATAATTAATTATTGAATATTATCTAAATCTAATTAAGCTCTTTAATTAGTGCATAATCATCGTAAGATGTCATATTTTTCATTAGTGATGGGGATTTTTAAGCGGAAGAACTAATTTTGAAATTGAATCACGGCCTTCTTACAGTGATTTGACAGAGCTTTCCTCGTTAAATCGACTGTTTCTCATCAAAAACGAATCAGAAGATTTTGACGAACTAAAAAATAAAAATTCGGAAAGTTGATTGTACTTTTGTGCATTTAAACGGCAGCAAAATCTCCATAATAGTCATTAGTGAAATTATTGATAACTAAGTTATAGTATGAAATCAACTTATTTAAATACTAATAAACATTTACTAAAATAATTTTTAATGGAAATCAATTCACAAATTTATTGTGATTAGTTATAGTTTAAGATATTTGTATTAAGATCTTATTAAACTATTAAAATGTAAATTAATTCAGTAGATTATTTTGATTGGGGCAGTTCACTGCAATCTTTCATTTCCTTTATGAAAATTAATTTCAACGTCATCGACTTATGCCACTCCCATTATTAGTTAAAATTAACTAATCGACTTGGATACGTCTCACTGTGGTGAGCATCGAAATCCGGATTTCTGATCATGCAGACACGGCGTCAGTCTTCTGATGGTTATGTTTATTTTCCATATCCAACATGAAATATTTAAGATCAATCCGGTAGCTTCGAATAACCCTATCATGTAAATGTAAATTAAAATATCATCAAGTTTTTGCATAAAATCAATAAAGGTTAAAACACATTGAAAGAGCTCAGTCGTAAGCAGAACTTTTTTTGGTTGAGTAATTAAATTCAAGCTGTCGATAATATGTGTAAAAGTCCTCTTCTAGACTATGACAAGCAATCGATACGATTAAAAAATCCTTGTGATGGGTGTGCAGAGATAATTGGTGACGCCTCCACTTTATCCAGGCACTTTTTTCGTCATTTTCTTTATGAATAAACATAAGTGGGTAATCTCGTTTATTTCATGTAACTATGAGTAAACTTGAAACTTACAAAGAATTTAATTAAAACATAGAAGAAATGGATTTCTGGATTTGCAATAAGGAGGTCTTCGAATGTAAATTAAAATGTTAAAAGCATCTACGAGATCTGTGGGAGTTTAGGGCTTTTAAATCCTAATCACGTTGCATAAAGGTCGTATTTTTTACTTTACGTGTTAATTTCAATAAAATTCACAAATCAACAAATAGTAAAGGCAAAATAAGTTTTTTTCTTTTATTTCAAAAATTTGCTTGGGTTACCCCTACTGATATTATCTTTTGAAACTACCAAATTATCGCCACATGGGGGAATGGTTTTTATTTCTTTCGACTAAAGCCAAATACTCGAGGCGTAATTGAAAGTATTTTACGTAATCCAGAAAATTCCACTTGTGAGGTTCGTTAGCTCATTTGAGTTATACAGTCTTCAATCGTTGTTAACTTCCTTTCAAGAAAACAATATTGCTTCCCCCTTTTCTCTCGTCGACTCAAAGATAAAATAAATTCAAAATCTTCTGCCCACTTGTCAAACCCATTTCACACCCCTATACTCAATTTGCTAAGCTCTAGTCTGAAGAGCTATTAAGAGTCATTAAGCTTGGCACCAGAAATCTGGCGTTTTACTCAAAAACACTAGCATACACGTGTGCCAATGTGAGTGCTTGAAAATAATGAACCGGTTTTTTATTCGAAGTTAGTATTTTATTATGCACCTGAAGCAATATTTTCTGGGTTTTAACCATTACAAATGGAGAGCAAACAACGATCAAAGTGCTCCATTGTTGAAAAGCAACATTTATGAAGATTTTCCGGTATTTCAATACGGGCCAAATTACCGTCCCGTGAAGATCAGCAGAAAGGGCAATTTTATTGCTTATATCATTATAGTTAATAACATCAAGAACCATCAAGCAGAACTCAAGATTACGCGTTCCGTAGCGAAGTTCAAGGTAGTTTAAGAGACTACATGAAAACGTTCAAAATGCAAATATAAATCCATGCAATGTGTTCTTTTATTCCTCTGTAATGTAACTGAAATATGTATTTATGAAGTTATTTTGTTTATAAAATAAGGGACTAGTTCACTTCCTGCTCGCATTTTATACCGCGTCTTCATCGACGAAGCAGGGGTAAAGTCGATAGGTCTAATAAGTTAGAGATTTCGAACTAGTATCAAATACGCATTACTAAATTAGAATATTGATCAAACACAGTCAATAATGGAGAGAAATGTGGATTTCTGTTTTTTAACTTCGGTCCAAAAAAATACGAACATTTGTTACTTGATAAATTAATGTCAGATCTGAGCGTATTCTAACTGATAACAAAACAATCAATCACAAAGACCCATGGGGCAAATTTCGGCTCCCTCAGGCTCCATATTATCATTATTTGTCAATTCCATTGAATGATTTTTTATTTAAAATGAAGTAGGAAGTTGCTTAAGCGGAGGCGCGATAAGTTATTGGCATTTATGTTCATAAAACAGGATAAATATCGGGACTGCTGATAAATACACTGAACGTTTATTCTTATGACTTTAAACATGGGATAGCCCTATGCTTTCCCCAAATCATCAGTGTAAAGCATTCCAAGCTCATAAATAAACTAACTTCAATTAAATTATGGCGAAATAGCTTCAAGCGCTGTGGAAGGAACTAGGACGCTACAGATGAGCGTTAATTCGAATAACAATAAAAAACCAGAATTATATTATAAATATCGTTCTAGGAAGAAAAACTGACGTTTGCTTCGGTTGCCCAGTTAGTTGTGTTGCTCCCTGAGACTTCGCCATGGCTTCTTTTTCACGCTGTTGGAAGAAGGTGAGATTTGCTTGGTACCTATTTCAAAATTTAAAAAAACTAATTTAATGCTTTGCTATGCTCTTTTCCATAAATCGATTTTTATTTTCTACGACATAAAAATCAAAACCCCAAAAAGAGAAGAGTGAAATTGCAGGCTTTCTTTGCTAATGTGTTGTCATTCTCCTCTTATTTTCTTTATTATTACATTTTATACTTGACAGATTTAATATTGTTTAAGTTATTAATTTTGCGATACGATGTGAACTTAGCCTTTAAATTTTATGGGATTTGAATAACTATTGCTATTTTGGTTTAGTACTTTTTATCTTCTTACATAGTCAATAAAATCTTGAAAGCATTTAGAGCATCAATTTTTGCAAACCAAATTTGTTGAACTCCGTTTAGCTATTCTAGAAGAAATCAATTTCTACCATCGCCATTGTTATCATAACGGGTTAAATATGAAAACGTTGACCCACTGTAGCATATTGGATTAGAGCCTTCAAAGTTCTTTAGGTAAATGTCTTCTTAACCGCAAAAAAATATCATTTAAACTTTGAGATAAGTTTTGAAAATGCGCCGGTTAATCTAAGATAACGACGATCTTAAATATAATATCCAAAATCTAGATAATCTAAACTTGAGAAAACGTCTATTCTTCATTTATTCTTTTTGACATTCTCATTTTTAGCAAGTGAGTGCCTTTATGATTCGACTTACCCTAAATTCAGAAAAGTTATTGAAATTTTTTGTTACCACAAAGGGGTGATTTCAAAATGTAATATATGTCAAGTAAATATATGTAAATAACCAATGAACTGTATTTCATCTAAACCCACCCAAAAGGTCGTTGTTCCTCCGAATCACTTGAATCAGGTGGTATTCTATAAAAAAAGAAATATTTTTTATAAATGTTAAATCGTGAATTACATACATCCTTAAGGGAAAAAAATTATAAAAAATATGCAGCATATCATAATATGCAAACAAATATTATTTCTTCTTGAGGACCCGAAGTAGCCAAAACAGAGTATTTAACCAATTACTAAATATGCCTTGAACACAGTGAAGGTAATAGTCCAGAGGGATCTTTGTCATATTGTTCCCACAAACAATATTTGGAGTAACAATAACAGAATGCTTTTCCGATGGGTCTACATTGGATTTATGAATAAAATTATGAGTGCATTTTGTAAATAATCATTTCTGACTTTAAAATTCCAACCAAATCTTAAAGCAAAAATCAGTTCCGATATTTATTACTCTCTTTAACTATTAATAATTGCTATTTTCTTAAAGGTATTGATTTTTTGAGCCAATAGAAATTATTTGGATTTCAATGCCATTTGTCACTCACTCAAAAATATTTTCACAAAGTTAGTTCATTGCAAAATTTGGTTTTACTTCCTAAAGATGGAATGATAAGGAATTGTACTGAGAAAGTGAGAGGGGAAGCAAATCTTAGAACTGCGTTATTGCGGAGTTGCCAAATGCCTTGGTCAAGCTTTAAAAAAAGTTACTCTAAACATCTTATTTTCCAAATTGGGCTGAGTGATAGACTCGCCTCCATGTGGTGTATCTTGGGCAACCTGTACACAAAGGGCAAAAAATCTATAAACAGGCAGTTGAATTCTGACTTTCAACACCATGACCCTACTCTGTGTCATATTCCACTACGTCCACAATACTCACCTCGCCTTTTTGTGCCTTTGTGTCTGTCTCTTTTTCATTTATGAATCATTCCTCTTTCCCCTCCTCCTGTCGAATTTGTCACATTTTGATGTTTCTCCCCTCTGTAAAGCACGACGTCAACTAAAGAGCTAATGATAACTAGCATAAAGCCTGCCATTTGATATAATATTAATATTATTATTATTAAAATTCTTTCGAATTTATGGATCCAACACAGACTAGAATGAAACCAATGGAATATTCAAAACTCTAGTTTTCATGACTTAAACATGCAAAAATTCAACGTCTTTTGCTTAAACTACAAAAAAATTCACCTCAAAGAAGCCAATTTAGATGCAGTCAAGGGTAATATGGCAGTTGCGCACAAATTTTCCCAAAAAGAACAGCAGTGATTTTGCAACATCGAAGTGGTAGCCTTTCAGCAGGAAATACAAGAGCCCAATTTGGCATTAAATTATTAAAAGTTGATTCACAATCCTGAAAAATCATCCAGGCTACACCTAGTCAACAAATGAGAGGCAGTAGTATGCGCGTTTCTCAGTATTACGGGTTTAAGGGAATGCCGGTGACTTAGTTTCCCCCCCCCTCCCTTAACTTCAAACCCAAAATTTGAACAGGTAGAGTATTTATCGCTTTATCCTAATAAATAAGCAATGTATTTTAAGGTAGAACTCAACAAATAAAAAATCAAACATCGTAACTACTGAACCAATAAAAAACACATCGTAATACGATATTCGGTTTTTATGTAAATGGTCAAGTTAGTAAACCAGACTCCTAGTTAGGAAATAAAGCAATGATGATTTTACAATTACTGTGATTAGATTAGAGGTTATTTAATATTAGATAATGCGATTATTTAATGCTGCTTACTTAGGCATAGCAATCGATTCCATAATTGGAGGAATAGGAGTCGGTTGTTCAGGGATCTCTGGCATGGAACGTGGTGTTGAGGTCTTTAATGGCTGACCAGGCGAACTATGAAGGTTCGAATAGGGGCTTGAAGAGCTTGTAAATCCTTTGCCGTTTCCTCCATAGGATCGAAGGGATTGGTAATTTCCAGAATTGAAGGGACCTGATAGACGACTTCTAAAGATGAAAAGATTCATTTATGTAATTATCATTAGTTTGTATTGTCAGTCAAACATTGATAGCATTGAAAAGACCATGCTTTCACGTCATTGACTTAAACACTATTTTACAGACCGAAAGATTAGCAAGAGCTTTTCTGCCTTTATATCCTCTTTTTAAGCCATTTCAAAGAAGTGCCATAAATCAGAATGCTCTCCTCAATATTACCGAATAATCCAAATATTTGTTCACAATTTAAAGTATTTGGCTTTTACATTAATAAACGAACCCCCAGCCATATTTGAAGCAAAAATATTTACAGCGCCCATCTTTGATAACTGTTCAGTATCATTGTGGCATTCTCATCCTATTTATAAGTCAAACTTAATCGCCGCAGTGTACACTGATAGGTATCGAACCTTTGACTTCTATGCGAACGAGTATGCTAGCCTGGGTGCCGACAGCGTCAATTTGCAAGCTCGGACACTGTTATAGGGAATAAAACAGCAAAAACTTTTGAGTACCCAGATAATAGAGAATAAACTTAGAAATAGATGTTTCAAACTGTGTTGAAACCCATTTAGCTATGGTTATAACAAATATAGTCTTTTCTTAATTTTCTTTCAGGCAGAAAGTAATAGTTTTGCTCATTAGATGTGTTTAACAAATGCAGTGGTAATCTTAGATGTACGAACTTAATGTGGGTCTTTTGGGCATTGAAACAGGCATTCCATCCACTAATTTGACAAAATCTAAACTTGAAAACGATATTGAGTTCGTAAGTGATTGATTTGGTTTAGTGTCACATAATTCGGCAAAAAAGTTCAAGAGAATTAAAAAATTTGCTCTACAAAAGGCTTGGCCTTATAGCAAGATTAATGTTTTGAAATTACTGAAACCGAGTGTAGACCTTCTTCTTTGGTCGAAAAAATTTGAAATGGATCGTGAATGATAAATTGAGAAAGTCAAAATTTACCACAAATTTCACACAACAGCTTTGAAATGTTAACTCAAAACATGAACACTAAATTTTTGGAGGCGACAAAATGGCTTAATCAATAGCATTTAGTAGCAATTGACGACATACTTTTCATAAAGTAACCACTGATTTCGATCATTTTTCCGGCGCAATAAACAAAATTATTAATTGTGAAAATCTTCACATTCAAATTATATTTTTATAAAGTTCAGTATTTTATATGAGTGCGTTTCCCGCTTTTGTCAAAAACCCGCAGATTGTTTTCATTTGCGTCGTATTTGTTTTAGTAGAATTCCTGAGAAATTAGGCCTCATTTAATTATCTTTTTTCTTAAAGTAAGAAGAGGAAGTTCGAAAAGAGATATTGAAAATCTCGACTTTGCCGATAACAAGATTAGAAGCCGATTTCTCATGATACCTTCCAGAAAATTAAAAATTCAGCCTGTGGTGGCACACATTTTTCTGATGAATAAAAACTGTCTAATTTGAGTAACATGCATTTTATTTGAAGATTCAATTAAAGGACAGCGTTATGACAGTGATTCTCTTGTATGTATTTAAATAATGATTTTTAATTAGCCCTACTTAAATTTACAAGTAAAACGATTGAAAATACCAAACCATACTTTTATTTATGACATATTTGTGAAAGAATTTTAACTTATTAAAATTTTGAGCGCAGACAAATGAATGCAAACAAAATTTTAACTTATTTAAATGTATTTCCTTTAACGAGATTAGCTATTGTGGAACAGAATATTGCGAACACTTCCTCTTTTTTAATTCTTAACAGGTGTTCACCTTAATAATAAATGTAAAACGTTCCATGTGGCTCATTTTATTATCACATTTCAACCTAATTTAAATTAACTCTTTAGTTGGGAACCAAAATCAGTCCTCAAAAAAATAATTGCAAAAGACTTCAATTCCTTCGCATTGGGCCATATTTCTTCATTGAGTTTTTAATACGATGATTTCGGTTTTTACCCCATTTTATAAATTTAAAAAAAGCAGAAGAAAATTGTTTTTATCTTGAACAAAGACGATTTCCTCGTGTTGACCAATGACGTAATATTTTGCCGATATCAATTGTAAAATTTATAGTTAATATACTGCAACAAATCGTATTATTCCGTTGAGATATGAAGTTTGGGGAGTTGTTTAACATAATAAATTACTGAAAAGCATGGAGAAAGGCGCATTAGTGCAAAGATTACATTGAGACATAGTTCATCTTAATCACTGGCAAAAAAACATTAAAAAGTTTGAACAAAATGGTCAAATTTGATCTCAATACTAATTTCTCCGCGGTTTTCCGAAAGTCCACCCAACCGAATAAGTGCCCATGGGAGGTTATTTGGAGTTAAAAGTTATAACGCAGTCTAAGAGCTTTTCTCTATTAAGGACTGAAGCTTGACTCCCCCCACCCTCCTAGCGAGATAAATCATTCCGCAAATTTTACTTCTGCACCATCGCCCACGGGCGCTGTTCCAAAAAATAGTTTCATGAAATGTCATTTACCGTTTAGCCAACTTGGACGGATTTTCGGAAAATCTAGATGCATTTCAGATTTAACGTAAATTGTTAGGTTTGTGAATTGTATGATTATTTTCGAACTCAATGGATTAATTTAAAAAATTCATAATGTAATCAAATAAATTTGCTAAAAATAGCTTACGTTTGAGGAGTGAGCCGTGTAGGGATTTCAGCATTGAGAGAGCTAATCGATTCAGTAATAGGAAATTCAGGAAATTCGGCCGTTGATGGCATTGGAACATATTTAGGAGGAGTTAATCCAACTCCACTTTTGGATATAGTCGGCATTTGTGGTTCATAGGAATTAAGTGGATTTGAATGGGCTTGAGAGAACCTAGCACCTATAGAAGGCACATTTAAAGATTCACCACTAATCGCTCCAGTCTTCATGACGCTCCTATCAATAATAAAATTAAAAGAATGAGTAATTCATTGTATCTAACGTTGTTAACTATGCATTCTTTCAAATAGATACCTCGGAGGTTTATCAAGACTGCCTGTCTTTGAGAGTTCGTTTAATTGCTCATGGAGGTTAACAGTTTGACCCAATTCCTCTGCTGTCTAATGAAGTCATCAATGAAATCAAAACTAAAACTGAAAATACCCGTTCAAGAAGTTGAATTATTTGTTGTTCAATAGTGGTTTCGTCGAAGTTGACAGAATTTAATCCACTTTCACAGCCTTGACAATCATTTAATAAGTTGCGGTAATGAGGTATAGTTGAGGTTATATCCAAACCAACACAAGTTTGCATAACGGATTTAAGTCTTCTTTGTACATGCTGTAACTTAGAAGTTATCTAAATTATTGCTATGAAATTTATAAATTTCTGAATACGTTGGCGCCTTGTGCTGATTCATACGTTGATCGAAGCCAAGTTGAGAGCTGGCTGTATACGTATAAGTAGAAATCATGCTCTATCGTTTTCCATATTATGGACTTTGCAAAATTGTAAGCAGTTCGAAGGTTATCGGCTTTAATTTCCTGAAAAATTGGTCATTAATATATTCGGTATACCCATTGAAGAAGTGTTTTGTGAAATGTAACCACTTTTTCAGCTTCATCTGATAGCGTTATCAGCTGATTTAGCAATGATTGTAGTGAATATACGAGGTCTAAACTTTTTTATTTGTGAGTTAATTGTTATACCATCCATATCGTCCTTCAGGCCAGCCATCGCACCAAAAGCAATTTCAAAATTGTATCAATTAATTCCAAGGTCACAACTGGTGCACCTAAATATAGTTCATAACTTATACACTAAACTTTGTATAGATTATTTCTTAAAGTTGTAAACTAGCACAATTTATAAAGCATTTCTGGCTTTATATCTTTAAAAACTCAGTAATTACGCAAATCGGTAAATAATTATGCAATCAGAATAGCATAATATTCTATTTTCAGCACTATTTTAATTCTCATAACAAATGAGATTGTACGATGTTATTATGTTTTCTCATAACAATAGTATGACATGCTTTGTTACTTATAAGATTCAAAATAAAGAACACAATAAATCACTATTTTTTTATTTTCATTATCCTTATTTGATTTTTGCCGAATCACATATCGAAACGGTTTTAAAGTGCCTAAAAAGTATTAACCTTTAAAAATAAATGAACCTTGTTACATATATATAAATCTGCTTATTTATATTGCAGTAATGGCTTATCAATCTCACTGTTATTACCTAGTAATATTTTTCACTGCGTTGTTCACGATCGGAACTTTAACTATTCTCTCCGAATTTAAGTTGTGTTGTACTTAACTATTATAGAGACTGCCCATTCCAACTGAGCAATCACTCGAAAAATTTCTTGCGGTCCGTACCACACTATGTGATGCGGGCATGGTGGAAAATTTGGAAAAGTTAAAAACAAAGAACCTAGACAGCAGAAATGGAGATATATGAAAAGTTGTGTGTTTAGAGAAACTTATATCCAGAAATTTTGGCAAAAGTATGCTCTCTTTTCTATTTGCTTGTTTAGCAGGCGAGAATCAGTTGAAAGGTAAATTTGACCTTATTTTCATTAGAATGGGGAATAATAATTCACTGGGGACCACCGAATGTTAACTAATTTAACCGATAAGACATCTGATTAATTCAACGTCTCCAAATTCCAGAGCAACAATTTAATATTCAATTTTGGACATAAAAAAGGTTAAATATGCTGATTATGTATTCCCAGTCCATTGAATTCGCGTTTGTAGATTAGAAATTCTCAAGAGAGATGGATTTATAAAATTAATGCAGTTATGTAGATTGACAGCCATGCTTTGACATCAGTTTCTATTGAACCATGCATACTGATCCGTAGAAATTTCAATTCATATCCACGTGACCACTTCGTCATCACTTTTCACGTGATCACGTCACCTCTAGACGGGTGAATAAAGGGCTTTCACGAAGTAACGAATCCTTAATGGAATCATGGCTGCTATATTCACCAAAGTAGCTCAAGTTGGGTTGAAAACAGGTGGAAAAGTTGCAACCAAAGCCATTGCTAAAGGTGGCGCCAAGAAGGTGGGAAAAGTGGCTGGAAAGAAAGGCGCTAAGACTCTTGGTAAACAGGCGGGCACTAAGAAACTTCTCAAGTCTGGAGCCAAAAAGACATTAAAGAATCAAGATACCGATGGTGGTGGCGGTAGAAACCGATCTACTTCTCCTGGAATGCAAAGAAAACAAGTGAGAATTAAATCACCAAGTCCGACCAAGATGAAACGATCAAAATCTGAAGGTAAGAAGTCTGAGAGGTCGAAAAGTAAAAACAGAAGTAAAAGTGCTGGAGGGGTTAGCGATGAAAGATCAGGCAAACACAAGAAGGCCAAAGGCAGAAGGAAAGATGATTCTGACGAGAGTAATGATAGTGAAGAAGAGGATGCCGAAATGGAGGAAGCTGACAAGCGAAAGACTAAGAAAGGAAAGCTCTTTGATCCTGATACAGAAGAGGAAGAAGAGTCACCCACGAAAGTGAAGAAAAAATCCAAGAAATCTTCCCATCTTAAAGAAGAGGCGAGCGATAGTGAGGATGATGGTAATGAGGCAAAAGATAAAAAGGGAACGAAGGATAAAGTTAAGAAATCTGGAGGAAAAGATCCGCACAAATCTAAAGATAAAAAGACGGAAAAATCTAAGAAAACGAGAAAGAACGATTCAGAAAGTGAAGATGAGCGACATAAAAAGAGTGAAAAGAAGAAAGGATCAAGGAAAATGGAAACAGATTCTCTTAAAAGTGAAGAATCGGAGTATGGTAGTATGGAAAAAATAAAAGATGAGAAAACTCGCAAAATGAAGTCCAAAGAGAGCGATGAAACCTATTCGGATGACACCCGGAGGAAAACGAAGATTGGTAAAGACAAAACGGAGGGAGATAGCGACTTAGATGATAGAAATAGGAAAAATAAACGTGATGATAGTCATCAACGAAAATTTGAAAGTATCAAACGAGGAGATAATGTGCTCACAGTCAAAGAAGGTAGTCATAAAAAAAGAGGATATCACGACAATTCAGATGAAGCAAGCGATACCGTTGACTCGAATAGGTCAAACAAGGAGGAAAGAAAGAGAAGTAAAAAAAATGACGATGGCAAAAAGGATAGAAAGAGTAGAAAGGATAAAGAGAATGAAAAAGGAAAAGACGATAAGAGAGACAAAAAGCGTGACAAGGATCGGCGTAAAAAAGATGACGATTCTGACGAGGAACATCACAAGGGTCAAAAGAAGGAAAAGAAGGAAAAGAAGGAGAAGAAGGAAAAAAAGGAGAAGAAGGATAAGAAAGAGAAGGAGAAAAAGGAGAAAAAAGAGAAAAAGAAGAAATCAAAGAAACATGATGAAGACATTACTACAGATTCGGACTCGAAACGGAGTTCGAGTAAAGGAAGAGGATCTTCATTTTCAAAAAAAGGAGACAAAAAGAAAGATTCAATTACACTTTCAGATTGCGAAGATGGTGAAATTTGCTTTAAAATACGTAATTGCCGTCCCAATATTGAAATTTCCAAAGATACTGGCAAGTGTAGCTGCTGTTTTTCAAATGGGCAAATGTCGAAGTCGGAGCTTTGTAGATTAATAAATGAATTTTCAAATGACTCCGGCGATGTGAATGTTGAGAAATTGGCACAATCCCTAGTTAAACGCACCAACATAGCTTCGCAACCTGCTCCGAGAATCACTGTTACACCACCAGTAATGTATCCTTCGCCACAGCTTACTGATGAAGAGATAAAGACAGAGATAAAATGCGCCAAACTCCGAGAGAAAGCTCAGAAAGCTAAACTTAAGAAAGAAGCGAAGATGATGTCAGCAAAGATGGGTCTCATGCAGAAATTGAGAAATTCAGATGCGGGTTCGGATGTGCTTACCCCGAGTGGTTCTCCAGAATATGTGTGCCAAAAAATTGAAGACAATCCGACAGTTGTACCACATCTTATTGCAAGACAACAATGTCCCACTGTAGAAGCTAATATTATGGGGCAGACTTCTCAACCGTGCATAAGCGAATTTGAACAAGAAAAGAAGGTTGATGAAAATGATGAATGGTTGAAAGCTTTTGAAATGGTTGTGAAATATGACAATGCAAAAGATATTCGAGCGACTCAATTGAAACAAGAGGAGATGAAGTTAGAATGCAAGTATCTTAAGCAGGGCCAAGCAAAGCACTTTAAACGCAGCAAAACTTTCGACAGCAGTCGAAAGGGCTGGATGAGTGGATGTGGAACATGTATCGATGTGGGTAAAAACCCCAATCGATCTAAATTGGACCATCTCTATGACTTGATTTATGCCTTGAGAGGAGCTCCTAAAATGTGTCCTTCTAAGAATAGTAATCAAGTTTCAAATGATCCAACGGCGGCTCCACAAGTGATTCCTGTATATGTACCGTGGGAGTTGCCTCAATGTGATCCTTATGGAGCTTATTACCCCGCGGATGGATGCGGATATGAAAATCAGGGATATTATCAACAAAGTCAATGATACTTTGGGATAATATGTTGTTTACTTGATTTATAATATTAATTTCGATCAAGATAAATGAAATTCATTTCTATTATTTTGTATTGATTTAGGTGTAATTCTGCAAATGCCTAAGTTTTGTGGCATTATTTTCATTAAAATAGAGTAATATCTAATTTACAAAGAAGGCATAGAGTAGGTTGATAAACCTTATATACGTTTAGGGAAACTTAATGGATGAACCATCTGACACGACTCAACAGACTAAATGAAATGACAGATTGTTAAATAATGCGAATAAAACCTTGAGAAGATTCTAGAGTGTTCTAAAATAGAGACTCGATGTTTCTGAACCTAAAATGGTGTATGCTAATATGGGGCTATCGTAAGAACCCAAATAATGGAGTGGCAAACGGTGGTCCATAAGATGATACCGTGTTTGAAGCTGAAAAGATCCAGGTTACTGTCATAGAAAAAAAAATTATATAGTAAAACTGGATGCTAAATATCATTTGCAATTTACCATCGAATTTCAAGTCTATGGACATTTTTAGCTGGCTAGAGATAGAAATACTACAATGCTTTTATCAATTTAAACTTAGTATTCATTAAGCTTAATGCACATAATAGTCTTCTCTTTTTACAATTCATTATGCTTAAGCAAAACCGTTCCATTTCCCATAGCTTATGGTTTCATCATCATTTTCGTTTAAATAAATTTTATTTTAGATTATAGATAAAACAGTAAATATTTTAAGCGAATACTAGCAAGTTTTTGTCTGATTTGTTGGCTTAATTATGCACTTTTCTCATCCATCTGCCTCAACATTACTGAAAGTGGTTAAGGTAATTTCAGTTCCTCAGTTCATACTATAGCTGAAGATAAGTACCGAATAATAAAAACGCATATATATATATATATATGTGCGTGTATATATATATTTATTCTGAAATGATGGAGTTGAAGGATTCTTGCGCTCATGCAACCAATTTCACTTTAATGTTTACTGGTTTCAAACTTTATAAAAGTCTCATGACCCAAACCTTGCATGGAGTTTTACAATTAAGGTTGACAAATTACTATATTATATAAATTATGTTTCTTTCTTTTCGTTGACGGAAGTTCAACTATGTTTGGTTTAGATAATGAAATTGATATAAAGGACTCATATTCACCCATATATAATCACTCGACACTTATTTCTCCACAGCTCTTGTAAAAACGCATCTATAAGAAGTGATGGCGTGCAATTTTTTTAAAGTTACTTAACCGAAATTTAAGAACTTAGACTGTGTATTACATATGGTATCAAATGTGTGCCCTATAAACTAACTCCTGTCACTTTCACCTTTAACTTCATTTGAAATATATGAATAAATATTTTAAATTTCAAAAGCTTGATTTATTTAAAATTTTTAATAGATGACTGGTCTAAATAGGACGTTAAATTTTAAATTTTAAATTATGATTAAATGAGTTTGACCATCAACATCATCAATCCGTTGCACTTTCACACGAGTGACTGTTGTGCCTATGAATCTGTCTGTCTGTGATTAAAAGCAAGTTGGAATGATCGTAAGTATAGGCGATAATGCACAGTAATTGCATCTATTATCTTATTTTATTAAAAGGTTTAGCCTTGGTTATCAATCAGCTTTCTTATATTTCCAAAGATTCTCAATACTTTTCCTTAAAGTTCTTTCGGAAATTATATTTGAATATTTATTTATACAGCAAAACTTGTCGTCTTTCTAAAGCTGTGTTTTCTATTGAAATTAATCACTGCGAATCGCTTATCCCTTTATCATTTAGATTTTTTCTTTCATTTTCTTCCTTTATTGAGTTGCGAACATATATTTACCAATCGTTGTTTTTAGTGAACATACGATTTAAGTATTTGTTGTGCTTTATAGGAAATGATGGGTGGCAAGAAAACTTTTGCCGTCATTCGTGCTGTTTACGAACATCGGTTTTCTCCTGAAGATTTTGTTCGTGAGTTGGATTTTGTCTTGGAGAAAAATGTCAACGTTGTGGTAATTGAACCAGATGATTTGGGTGAAGTTACTTGGCGATGGATTCATACGGGAAATTGGCTTCACAAAACTGCAGTTCTCTCAGGTTTGACCCAACTTTCATTTAAAATCGTTGATTTATTTGTGAATTTCTTATGCCATTTTATCATATTTTTTTTCAAACGATACAATTTAATGTGCATATTGATCACATGCTTTGAAAGTGCTTAGGGAGAACTTATTATATTAGTACATACCTTGTTATTTGTTCTTTGAACGGAAGGGGTTACCTTTTCAAGGATCCTCGAATATAATCAGTTCATGGTAGCAGTTAATGTTATCTATTGTTTATCATTTGAACTTTGCACATTCTTTTTAATAGATTATTTTCTCTTTTCTATTATTTATTTTCGTTCATTTGTCCCATGCTAACTTTGCTCGTATTTTCAATTTGATAGTAGCCGTAATTTTGGAAACCTTATATTTTGTGTATTAGAGCAGTTATTTTCTCAATTTTCTTCTGTTTATCTACCAATTCCAGAATTCTATATTGAAAATTTATATTTCACTGTCATTATTCACTCGGAATATCTACTTTCATGCATCTTTTTGTTCCCTGTGTTCCTGCTTAAACCTTTTCAAAATGACTTTGTTAAGAGCTTGTAGTTAAATTTATATCTAGAGATCCAATAACTTGTCATTTGCGACAACTAATCTACCCCGAGATGACCCATTAATCTGCCTTTAAGTGATTTTCTAACACCATCTTTTTTCTCATTGCAATTGATTTATAATATCTGTTTAAGAAATACATTTTTTTCTACTATATTTGTTAATTACTTTATCATTGAAGTCTCGCCATTGAAAACGACAAATCCCTTTCGTTTTTTGGATAAAATATAGACATTTCAGGTGTAGATTGGTTAAATCGTGTACCCGCTACGATTATCCATGACTTTCATTGAGTTTAAAATCTAACTGAAATTGGTATGTTAACGTACATCCTAATCAGGAAGATGATCACTCTGAAGTGAATCCACAAGGTGTCTTAATTTGAACTTATGTTGATCATAACTGCCATAGATCATGTGGTAAAGTTCCCTAGAGTATTTTTAATTGCTCTCTATGTTTTTTAATTAGAAAGCAATTGCGATGTGTCGACCATTTTAATTCATAACATTCATCTTTTCAATTACTGGATACGCACCGATATGGGTCTAGATTTCCAATTTAGATGATCTCTTATTCCGCTTTCCTTTTCCAGGTCTAGCAGCCATCGGTGGGACATTTCTGACCTTTCTTTTCCGACACCCATCAGATACTATTGTTAGAAATTCCATAATTGGCATCTCCCGGAGTCTACTTCCCAGCGTCTTTTTGGGTTTCGTGTCTGCAACCTCAGCCGGTTTATATGCACTTTTCTGGCAATGCGATCCCTGTTCCAAGTACCAAGTGGCTCGTTCCTTGTCCGCGCTCCCTGCTTGTGTTGTTGCCGCCGCTTCAGGGTCTCCCAGCAACAGTTCCAACTTCACACCGACTCTGGGAGAGGAAGAGGACGCATCTCCCAGTTCCTCACCTAACAGACATCGCAATAACCACCAGAGTAGTCGAAATCCCTTTCCAAACACGGCGGAGGCTTGCACCAACAGCGGTGGAAGTCCTGTAGTGTTAATTAGGAGGAATGACTTCTATCGAAAGGTTCTCCATAATTCAGTGTCTATTAGTGCTGTACTCTGTGTTGGATTGGCAATGTATCGGCTGCGTTAAATTCGGTTATGTGCCCTCCTTCATTTTAAGCGAAATTGTACAAATCATGCGTTGAACTCATTGAGTTGTGCTTATAGCCTTGTAGAGATAAACTTAATAGTAGACGACTGTCATTGTCTTACCCCTACCCTTTGTCATATTTCGGTTTAGTCTGCCTACCTCCTCATTCTAGTTACTTAGTTGTAACTAGTGTTTCTCCTACTCTTTGTGAATATAAAATTTTCCTTCAATGAATTTTGGTGATCATGTATATTAGACGTCATTGTGTGGAGGAGTCAGCACGTGTTTCCGGGCCAACTGGGCGATGATATCGCATCAGAAACTTGACCCGGATCAAATAACTCTTGAATTAAGTGTGACACCTAGTTAAATGAAAACGATTTCACTTCAAGTGTTGTGGGTCTGCGATGAGTGCAGGCCATCATAGATTAAGATTGATACAATCACGTCTAAATAGAAGTGGGTGTCTGGGCTCTGAGTAGTATAATGTGATAATATTGACGTGTTGTAATACAATATGGTCCAGAAAATTTGTGTTCTCCAAGGTTTCTGCCGGAGCTTAGGAACTTTCTAATGGGCCCCAAGTGGCACTAATCAAGTTAATCCTCATTAAACGAACCAATTCTACCATTTGAGATATTTGTTTATGAGGAATATTTCGGGAGAAACATTCTCCGAGAACGTCACCAATTAGTATCGGCATAACTGATGGCAGGTTTAACCGTACCCAGAGACCTGTAAGAGCGACACTGTCAAATGAGGAATCGCATGAAGTTGCGCCATACAAAGGCATTATTTTTATCAAGTTTTTAATTCCCACATGGCCAATTTCTAATTGACTCTTGGACTAGTCCATAGACTACAAGCAGAGTGCTATCTCTGTAGCAGTTTCTCTTATGACAGCTAAGAACTTCTAATTGAAACTAGTTATAATCATGCATAAAAAATATACAATGCATAATTTGAGTAGAAAAATGTCTACAAAATCTTTACACCTATTAACATGTCATGCCAAAACAAATATTACTTCTACCACTTTAATTATCCAATTTGAACTTCGTTGAGCAATAAATAAGAAATTAAACATTTACAAATTTTTCATCCCAAATTAACGACACTTCTTTGTTAGTTTAACTATATCCTCATGCCTGTTAAACATAGCTGCAACTCTTTCCTTAAACGAGGTTCCTTCCTTTGATGGTGGCAGAAGAATTGGTAAGGAAGTTCCATCGCAATTCGTTTGCAAACCTTCCAATTCATCGCCCACAAGGAGACGAGAAGTCAGAAATTCCTTTTCCATCGGATGCAGTTCGCCGGGAAATATCATACAATGCATAGGACCTCCCAATGCTTCAGAGAATTCAGGAGAATCGCCAATTTCAGAGGGTGATGAAGACCCAAGAATTTGAAGCGTCGTGACAACGATTGATTGAGTTGGAGTGCCAACACGAGCTAAGCAGACAACGAGGCAATCCGGATCGAGATAAACTTCGGGCTCGAGTTCCCGAAATTCTTCCGGATCAGATTCATCATATTCTACCACTCGATGACGAATACGTCTGGCGGTTTCTAGGATCTGATAACCAGCTTCGGGGCAGACCATGAATCTCGGCGGATCGTAGATATCTCTATCATGCAAAAGAGCTTCCACTGATTTTTCTTTCATCTATAAGGATTACTTAACATTCATAAAAAGCTTTTACTTTTATGTCTAAAAGGCATAAAGTATGAAGACCTCTAACAAAATTCGCTGCAATTTTCAGATAAAAACTCTCAGGATGGAAGTATTCGTTCCAAAGAGGGATAGATACTGTCTCACCCATTCTGTAGAGTTGTAATCCACAGCAACCAACTGCAGTCATAATTCCAGCATTATGGATCACCTTATATGGAATTTTTTCCTTTATTGCACGAATAATTAAATCTAAAGTATGTTAGAAGTAAATATAAGTACCGGAGTGAGTAGTAGCACAAAGTGGATCACCAACAACCAGGAAAGCAACATTAGCAGTTTTAGCTAATGTAATCATTGAATTGCTCTCGTTTTCTGTAAATTCACGATCGGCATCTTTAACTTGTTTACCACAAAACTCGGATATTCTCTCTATGCCGTGAGTAAGAACGGACGTATAGGCATCAATGAAAATGTGGTCACATTTTTTTATTACATCAAGACCAGATACTGATATATCCTCGATTGTTGATAAACCCAACCCGATGAGGTAAAGCATGGAGAGAATATTGTAAACCAGCACTAAAAATTCAAGAACTGTCTTTTCAAGGTCATATGTGGTACCATCGCCATTATTGGATCTTTCTAATTTGAGCCACGATTTAAAAATAAATAAGAGAAATAGATTTGGTTAAAATATATTTAAATAATTTTTGGACAATAATTACATAGCGAACCTCCTATTAACAATAAATTACGACGCTTCTAATTACATTTTCCACACTTCTTCATTACCTTCACCATATTTTTTCAGAAGCTTGCATTTTAATTCCACACAATCCCCTATGCAAAAATTCGGGCGTTTTAGTAATTGACTTATGTCTGGCGTTGGTCGTCGACCTTGACTTATGAGTTTCAAATTAAGCGCAAATGTGTGGATTCTTCAAAATCGAATCAACGCTTTAAACTATCAGATCTGAAAGAGAGAATAGTGTGAGCAATTTAGTGCAGAACTTGAAAAAAACTGACTTCTAATGGTGCTCAAAAGTCGTGAGACTCAAGATCTTTTAAATGGTCTACGCATCAGAATATAGGGAGTGGAAAGGAATCGAGCCAATGATTTGTATAGTCAGCCAAGGAAAGCTCGAGGGCAAATGTCGAAGACCAAACGACTAAAGGAACAAACACCTCAAGTTTCAGAGAATGGGCGGAATCGCGGATATCGTTTTACATATGCTTGAATGCTTTCAATGCCAGAAGCTTGCTGGGAAGACAAGAGCTGAGGATGGCAATTTTATAATTAAGACTATTAACAGTCACTTGGCAGTTTTTCACCAGTCCGGAGATTGTGAGAGAGGCGTAGAATGGAAAATTGTGTGAGAGGTAGGTAAAACAATTTACATGGGTTACTTGGGCAAGCACACGTTTAAGTTTTAGAATGTATATGCACTTTTGGATGAAATTGAACGTTATAAAAAGTGAACTTTTAATAAGATTTTCAGGTTAAGTAGATTAGGAGTTAGTTATAGAGGTGTTTCTTAAGTTATGTAGACTAAAGACCCGCACTTTCTCTTTACCAACGTATGAAAGAATAACTCAGAAGAGTGGTGGAGTCTCCCTTCAATGCAGCATCAATTTCCGCATCAACAAGTCGTCTAAACGCTTCCTAAACGATGTGGAAAAAATTTCATCCACGAAAAACGTGATATCAATCCGAAATAAAACTTTGGGGACAGTATTTATGCCTCGTTCTTAGATAATCGATTCATACAGGTCGTACAGCAGCGTTTTTGTCTCCTGACACCGAAAATATGAAAACGACTTATATTTCTATATAATGCCATAATATGGTTATAGCGCATATCTGGATAATTGTTTCGTTAAAGCTTTCTCAATCAAGTGTGAATCAACTGAAGACTAATGCCATTAAGTAGGCAGATATATCTCAAAAGCCGTGCAGCGACAAAGGAGCGTCATATAGCATACTAAAGTGAACCCATAGTAGCCATAAAAGAATTATATAGTTACTGGTAGTTGTAATTGCTTTTGGAGTTATTAATAGTAATATTACGTATAAAATTTAATCTCCTTGACAATGCATTTTTAAGACCTAGTAGCACCACCACAATAAATAGTACTCCCTTTGGATAAATTGCAATTGTTACACGAAATACTGTTAAAATCGAGTCAATTAAACGCCACTCACTGGGCAAATAATATATCGAGGACATATGCAGCCTTCAAATAAACAAATGAGCTCATTCTCTTTATTTCAAAAGTATTAAAATTCATCAGGAATCTCTGGTGTCACAGCCTTCAAATTGTTGATTTGGATACGCCAATTCACTCTGTTCTACATTGTCGAGAGGACCGGATTTGAAATTTCGATCAACTACACGTATGCAGCAACTCCATGCTCTAAGACAAAGCAATAAAACTTGGCTGTCTTTCAGCACGCATTCCGTCTTATTACTTACTATCTTCCATCATCTTCATAAGTGGCCAATCACGTTTACGGATAGGAGCAAAGTTCGTTAAATACTAAATCTCCAAAAGAATTGCATTTTTGTTGAAATTAATAATTAAATTACTTTTGCTTCAACGCGACACATCACCCCTTTATCTGTTCCCACAGTAGTTTACGAAATTAAATATGAGAGATAGGTTGTTAAGCCAATTAGAATCGAATAAGATGTGATTGCATAAGGCACTTTGAAATGGATTTACTTGCGGATACATTAAGACGTATGGGTAGAATTATTGAGGAGAACCGAATTCACCCGTCAGTCACGTTGTTTTAAATTTACTATTTTACTCAGTTTGCCTTGACAGGCTATGAAAATACTTTGCATGGAGATTGCATGTTGTATCAAATATCAGCCTTTTGGCACTAACAAGCCAATGAATGGTCCAATAACACTACAACAAGGCACATTTCCCATTGATCTAGGCAAACTAAGTTACCTCTTCACATGTTGTTCATGGTCGCATTTTATGAACCACATTCCCCTTCTAATGTGGATTCATCAAAACAGACTAAGTTCTCTTTAAGGCGGGGATCAGAAATCTTATCAAATAGCGTTGACGATTTTCGTGCCTGCATGTTGGTACAATTAGTTAGACAAAAAAATGAGTGGCTTAATTTCTGTGGCGCTAGATTAGACCACTTTTAGTTCATTCGCTCCATGGAAATAAGTTGGGAAGAGCCAGCGATTATGCATCTGAATGGAATAAATTTGGTACCATGAGCAGGATTCGTAAGGCTATGCAGCCGAAATTCGTTCAATGGCGAAAAACTCAACTTAAGAGTAGTGAGAGACTGTTTAGGAAGAGAGTTCCTCCCCCCCTCCCCCCCCCCCAACGAGGGAATTCGTTTGTGGTTAATTCAGATCATACGGTTAGCAGAATGAACAGACAAGATAAATGTTTCTTTTGAACAAATGATGCAGCCGTACAAGTGTGCCAAAGTATGCAAGAGGTTAGGTGAAAGAAAAGAGTTAAGTGTTACGATCGTGAATATGCGAGTACAGAGAGAGAGAGAGAGAGAGGCGTCAAACGCCATTAACATTTGTCAAGAGTTCAAAAACACATACCCACACACATAAACACCTCCCAATGAAAGACTCGTAATAGCACAAATAGTTACAGTAGTGGTGATAATATAAGCACAAGTTCTCGTTAAATATCTCTGTTTGTTTTTTCCTTTTCCTTTACATAGCGTCAAAGTGGAACCGCTGAGATTCCTGCATCCTCTCCTTTTGGTCAGCACGAATTTCAAGGTACTGGAGTATACCAATCACAACGAGAAGAATGATGCAAGTAGATAGTAAAGTGATTGCAATTACAATGACCTTTATATCGTAGAGGGGCTGTAAGAATGATTTTGCCTGCCAACTGTAATGATCAAACGAAGAAAATAAACACTAATTGAGATTTACATAAGGAGAAAGGCGATGAAAATAGGAAATGTAGATGACTTACCTGTCTGGATTATTGTACTCATACGGAATGACAACTACTTGGGCGTTTGGAACAATAAAGGTGAGTTTATGTGATCGTGTTTGCTGTAGAAGAAGAGAAGACATTAGCCACACTGAACAAACCAATTTCGCTAGCTTTTGATAATACAAACAAGTGGAAAATCTGGTAGGTGAAGTATCTGGGAGTGAGGCAAGCTAAAACCGTGAAAACCCGAGTGGAACTAAGCTTAGTGACTGATTCCACATTCTTACCACCTCATGACCAACAGCTTTCATTGCCATAAAACATGACTGGTATTAAGTAATCTCAAAGAGAGCTTGGCCTTTACTGCCTGAAACTACGGCTACAGTAGACTCAGAAGTAAAGTAAATTCTGAGGGGGGGGGGAGTGGGGGG